ACCATGGTTCCCTGAGTAGGGAACGAGACACTGCGTCCTCTAGGTTTCTTGCCATGCTGCAGACGCAAGCTTCAGACGAAGAAGTGAATGATGTGTGCTCCCGGCGCCTATTTATACTATAGTCGCACCTGTAGTGACGTCATGGCTGTCGCCGGCCAACGAGTTGGTGTTTTTTCAATGTATGCTTCAGACACGGGTCACGACGAGGCGTCCCCATAGCGACCCCTAGAGGACGCAGTGTCTCGTTCCCTACTCAGGGAACCATGGTTACATAAGTAACCTGAGACGTTTCCATGGCTGCAATTTGCTGTGTTTTCCACAAACTGGCAACCCAGCGAGTCAAAATCCTATGGGAAAACTGGCAGTGGGCGGAGTCACACAAACAAAATCAAACACAGACATTCAGACACAGAAAACACATTTCAAAGTAAAATAACTGGCTGTAGCGTCGTTTTTCAGTGAAACATGTGAACTTTGCAAGTTTCCTAAATATCTGCAAACATATTATGGTATTTTTATGCTTAAAAAATTACATACAGCACCTTTAAGACTTTCTAAGGACCCAGGGAAACCCTGTCAAGGGCACAATGATGAAAGTTAGGGTTCAAACCTACGACCTTTCAGCTACCAGCCAAGATCTTTGATGGCCTTCTGAAATGAGCAGGCAAAATGAATCAACTTAATTCAGATAGCCCATAAGAGGTTCCTACCATAATATAATAACAAACATGTGTGTGTTTGTTTTCCTATGTGCTCATATTAAGACTAGAAAAGAGCGTGATTGTATAGTATGAGACAGTGTGTGCGTGTGTTATTATTTCTAACACCATATGCTCAACACTCAGTACGTGACAGAGTTTTCCTTCCTTGAAACACCTCTGAGGAAACGCAGGAGGCTCAACACTTCTCTATCATTCCTCTCACTTCTAACAAGCTGCATTACAGCTCAAATTGATTTCTCGACTTCTCAAACAGCACCGAGTAAACACTTTTCTGAACCGCAGAGCAGAAGAACTAATCATTTCTGCATTTCTAATTACGGTTAAGGGACGTGAAGTTCTACATAGCAGCCGAAGCCAGGCCGCTTAGATTAGAAATGTCATTAGAAGGCGATGAAGTCATTGGCTTGAATCTGACACGTATTAGCTTTGGCGGCATTTCAGTGATTAAGCAGGGAAAAAAACGTCAACTGTTGAGCCAAAAGACCTAAAGCACGTCTTTCATTGTGCTAATCTGTCTGTATCTGGCTTGGAAAAATGACCAACTCTCTTTCAAACATCACTCCGCAAATCTTAAGAGGAATATTTTGCTGACAGGACTTTACAATTGAGATATATTACGAGATGTGCAGCCAACATTTCGATGAGGAACAAGTCAATCATCTGTCCTCTTCAAAATGTGGTTATTATTGGCGTTTAACCCTATAATCCTCAGGTCATGCAGCTTATTGAGGAGAACAGACTTCAAAATGTTTACTTGGCAGATGATAAATTATGGCAAAAATGTGCTAATCCAGTCAACAAACACTATCCTTGTATACAACAAACGATTATTTTGGTCATCGATTAATGTGTCGAATATATCTTTGATTAATCGAATTTAAAAAATTGTTTCTGTATTTCATTGAAAAAAACATGCTACTCCAGTGTTGTCCTCCAAACAATGTGTAAATTAAAGGTTATGACAAAAAAAGTGATTATATCCATGTAGACTATACTTTACATTATGTGCAACAACTGTTTAAAATGAAGCCTTACATGAACAAAACCAACATCTGGTCAGCAGTTTAAATGACTATTAAAAATTACAATTATAATATAACCCTATAATGTAAGTTTTGCACTGAGGAAAACATGTCTTAAGCACTATAAAGAACACATGCATTTGTCAACTGTATACTTATAAGTTTGTTTTTAGCTATAAATATAAAGCATGTCTCTTGTTCAGGACAACTTTAGTTCATGCACCTTTCACGCAGCAGCTCATTTTGTCCTCTGCTATTTTTTTAGATGGTCTTTGCCCATAAATATGTTATTCTGTAAAGAGACTGGCAGATGTTTTTTTTATCACAGAGCACGCAGGCCTTATTAATTGCTAAGCAAATTCATTGTGTTATCAGATTAATGGAGTACGTTTTACAAGAAAATACTATTTCAGTCTTTCTACTTCAAAATTTTACGTTTAATTCTATGCGTTACTTGACATTTCTTTTGTAATTCTGAAATTTACTAGCAATTCCTGAGTGAAATTTGTTTCTGTTGTTGTACTGTTTTCTGTGCAGTAAATAAACACCTCTGTTCTGTTATATTTTATGAGAAACAATAGGGCAGTTTGTACCTTGGGAAAAGCTTTAAAAATTAAAAGGAATCAAATACATATTGATGCAAGCAGCATTAAGAGGCAAGATACAGAAGGGGTTTGATGCACTTCGCTAAAGTGGGATGGTTATGGATGTGGGATTCAAACCAAGAACCTTTTAATAACCAACTAAGATCTTTAGCGACTGCACCACACTGCCACAATAGTGAACACTACCAAAGAGACACAATCTGAGCCTGAATACGAATGCATAGCTAAGAAGATGCTGATGCTTTTTTTGGGTCTGATGTTCATATTTGTCCGGCATGAACATCAGACCCAAATTTGATGAGAAACTATGAAGAAATTTGATGAGAAACTATGAAGAAATTTGATGAGAAATTGTGTAGGAGGAGCAGCGGAAAAACAATGTGATCCACCATCCAAGATGGTGACCAATATAGTGAATTATTCAGCAACAGCAATACTTTTTAAAACTGTTCAAAAGACAGTGAATTAAAAGAGGAGAAGTACTGACTGCTAAATTATTGATTTTAACTGGCATCCAACGAAAAATAAATCGGGGACCTGTTACCACAACTTAAATAAATGAATGGTTGCAAGTTTAAAATTCTCATTTATTCACCTTTTTAGTTACATTAGCTGAACATTGTGTGTAATGTAATCTTAAAATTGTGCATTATTTGATTTTCTTAAAGGGGAGGTCTAATGCTATTTCATGCATTCTGAGCTATTTACACTGTTAAAGAGTTGGATTCTTATGCTCAACGTGCTTCATTCGTGTTACGGAAATCGTCGGCAGCGCTGCACAGGACTTGCTGGAGAAGAATGTCTCCAAAGAAGTGTGTTTTTGGATGTGAGGGAAAGATAACCTTGTTCAGCTTCCCAAAGAACCCAGCGTTATGTGAACAGTGGATGCAGTTTGTTTTTCTGGGACAGCAACGGAGTTGTTTGAGCGTGTTTGTTTGTTCCCATCATTTCGGTGACAAATGTTTTATAAACAAGGCCCAGTTCGACGCTGGATTTGCACATCATTTGATACTGAAAGATGGAGCAGTCCCAGTGATAAAAGATCCCTGTCATGAGCTGGAAGCTCAGGCGGTACGTAAAACTGCATCAAATTTCTGTGTTTTGCTGGAATTCGGCGCATAAGTGCTTGTGACTCTTTAGCTCCGCCTACGTGAATCTTTAGCTCCGCCTCCAGGAGCTTGGCTGTTTTCAGAGAGAAGTGTAAAGCTGTATCTCTCTTTTATAAATCTGATAAAACTAAAGACTCTTCAGAGATATGAAGGATGCAATACTTCTCTATTAGTACTCCAGATTAACATGTGAATGGCAGAAACTGTGTGTTATGTCCCCTTTAAAAAATTAAGTTATAGTTACTTAATCAAATTGTCTTGTTAACTTTGGAAATTGGGTAGTGGATTTCTAGTTCCCAGCATGCTTTGTGTAGGACTGGATCACGAGAGTCAATGTTGACATTAAAGTGCCCCTATTATGGATTTTTGAAAATTGCCTTTCATGCAGCATGTAACACAGCTCTAAGTGAATGAAAACATCCTGCAAAGTTTTAAATCTGAATGTGCACCGTGTATAAAGTTATTGTCTCTCAAAAGAAAGAGTCGACTCTGAATCATTAAAACGAGTCGTTTTAAAATGAATCCCAAGCCGTTTCATGTTGACGTCAACATGAAACATTAGCATATTGCCCACCCACTTGCCTTTCGCATTGGTCTGAATGAAAATGCAAATTCATTCTTTGCCACTAGGTGCCGCTTTTGGAGTGGTAAAAATAGCGGTTTCCCCGGTAACGCTGTACACAAAGCAGCACTGTGCTCACAAATGCTGTTTTATCAGGCGTTATAGACATGATGAAATGAAAATGAGATTAATCAGACCAATCAGCGCAGATTAGTGTCACGCAAAGGAGGGCTTTGGAAAAATGAATCGTTGAGCGAATCGTTTGGGAGTCGTTGAGCAAATAAGGTAAAAATAAATGCATATTATAAGACAATGAAAGTGTTTTTTGCCCTTGCATGCATGTCAACCTGTTGTTGGGGACTCCCAAAACCAAAATATGAACTTTCATTACCCATAACAGGGGCACTTTAAGAGAAGGGAAAGACCCTTTAGTGTTTAATGCTATTATGTTTGACATTTAAAAGATTTTCTGTTATGTTGAAGTTTTTGTGGTTTGTGCTGAAAAGTAAAAAGACTAAATGAAGGTAAACATTACATTGACTCTATTAACACATTATTTTTTAGAGTGTTCAACAGTCCAAATTAGTGCTTAAAATTTTTAGCTTGTTAGAAAAATGTATAACATTGTAGCACCAGCTAAACAAACACCCTTAATATCTCAACTGTTGTGGATTTAAATATTGCTGAAGTGGGTCCACAAACAGTGTGGGTTATGAAATCATTCAAGTCTGAGAAACTCTAAAAGTCACATTCCACAACTTTCCTTCAAACTGCTGCCACAGGCTCCAGTGCCAGCGAGTAAAATGAATGAAAGCAAATGAATTCAACTCTCGCTTGGCTCCTAATAAACAGACTTGCATATGCAGCCCTATCCTCAGAGTTGCATCGCTGAACTTTATGCATTTGGCATATGGTGCGACTGGAACAACACTGACAGAAACGCCGCCAAGTCTGAGCAAAGGATGCATTTGTCAGTCCTGCCACCTGCGAGTACAATAAAGAAACATTTGCATCTTTCAGCGCAGCTGCGGGCCTGAACAAAACGGCCCCAGATGGCTGATGGCATATCATGATATCTGCTTTTTGATTAAAACTGATCAGCCTTTTCATAGGATTAATTGCTGATGAGCGCATGAATGTCAGGCAGTTCACTGTCCACTAAATTAATGCACTCTCCGAGCAGAGGACAGGAGCGCGGGCATCTCGCCGCTTTAATCCTGTGCACACATGCAGAATAATCCTGTCTTATCTGCTCCGACTGCGTCTGAAACCTGTTGCTTGATCAGGGTTTATCCACTTGCGGCAATTGGTCAGTTTTGCCGATCTGTGTGTGTGTTGAGTGTAGGCTGCAACGGGTCTCAAACTGAAATAGCATCTGACATTTCTGAGACAATAAGGCGAGCGGGAAAGTAAGCAGACTGTAAACAGACTCACGCATACCTCCTATGCGGGCGTTGTAGGCTATACCCACAATGCAGTGCGAGTTGTTGGCTACAGCAGCGACTTCACCTGCGCATCGCGTTCCGTGCCTGAAAAGAAAAAAAAATGCAATCATAAATCTCACAAAGATTTTATATTTGAGATATGTTAGTGTGTTTGAGCCTGAGTTTGATCAGAATTGTGAGTCTTTCTTTTCTATTATCTCCTTATTTTATTCTGACCTCTTCACACTGGTAATTAAAACTGTAAAAAGGCCAAAAAAAATACACTAAGACACTGCCTCTGATTCAAGCCATAGTGATTTGCCTTATTGGCTACGACAGGGGTCTTCAAACTCACCCCTGCAGAGTTTAGCTCCAACTTGGGATATTTAATGTTTTTGAAAATATCTTATGCTCACCAAGCCTGCACTTATTTGATTAAAAATACACATTGTATTATTAATAATACAATATTATAAAAATTTACAGTCAGGGTTTTTAGAGTTAAGTAAAACTTAAACCATAAAAATATTTTTAAAAAACATTTACAAAAATATTTAATTTCAGCAAAGTTGACAAGGCAACAAAAAACTGAAACTGAAATACAAATTAATAAAAACTATATAGAAATATAAAAAACTAATTAAAAAGAAAAAAGAAAATATAAAAATAAATAACTAGCTCAAATATTAGATATTATAAATATAAAAAAGTATCTCAATGATACTAAAATAACTATATATATAGTTATTTTGAGGAAAAATTTCTCATATTGTGAAATAATTTGATATCACCATATATATGTTCATCAAGACTGAATTTTTAAAAAAATATGGTAAACAACTGTGCATTTTATTAAAAAATACAGTAAAAAGAGTAATAATGTGAAATACTCTTACAATTTAAAAGAACTGTTTTCTATTTTAACAAATTGTAAAATGTAATTTATTCCTTTGATACAAAGCTGATTTTTCAGAAGTCTTCAGTGTCACATAATCGTGCATTAACAAAGTAAATAGGGTGAACTAAATTTTGGTAACCAAAAGCGAAAACTTTGTTTCTGAAGGCACATTTTCAAACTGATATGCGAGTCAATCCTCCGTCCACACTGTCACTGCGGATCCAGGAGCGCTGCCCGCTGCATTAGAAAGGCATTCATTGCATTTTTATCTTGTGCATTGTTCACTCGCTCTCGTTCGCTCTGTGCACTTCTTTACTAAAGTCTCTTTCAATAGTTTTTTTTCCCGTCCTCACTCAATTAAGTTTCTGCTCCAGGAGGCACGTTCCACACTTCAAAAATAAATTGAACGTCGCATTGTTTTCCGGTTTCAAATGTCCTGATGAGTATTAACAAAACAGCGCTTTGAAGTTTTGCCTGAGCTCTTGGCAGAGTTCATTGGTAAACATGCAGAGAACAAGCATTAAATCAGGTCCTTATCAAAGACAGAGACGTTTTCAATTAAATCCACACCAGCCTCAATCCCACAGGATTGGATTGGTTTCAGTGCTTCGCCACGAAAGAAAGCCTCTTCATTCTTTGACATGCAAAACCACAAGAGTCCAGTGTTATGCCTTTATTTGCATCGCTCCAAATATCACAGCTCTTGAAGATGCCAGAGTTTCAAAACATTGCTCTATTTATCATAGATCCATCTATTGCAGTCCAAAATAGCCAGCACCGTAATACACCCTAACAACCAGTGTTGGAGAAAGTTACTTTTAAAGGAACACCTAACGGTCTAATCAGATTCAATGATCTATGCTAAGCTGCAGCTACCGCCAGACCTGGAGATCGGCTGAGTGGTATAAATACAGATGAATACATTTAGACCACTTAACTTAATGATTGCTATCGGGATGTGAAGAGACTTTCAACAAGCATAACAAAAAAAATTTCTGAAGACAATCACCTACACCTTTAACTCTAGGGGAGTTGGAAAATAAGCCTATTTTCAAAAATAGTGGAGTGTTCCTTTAAAAGTAATGCATTACAATATTGCATTAATCCTTATCCCTAAAAAGGTAACTAATTGCGTTACTTAGTTACTTTTTAAGCGTTTCTTATTTGAAAAAGTGATTCTTTTTCTTGTAAATTAAAAAGTAATGCGTTACTTTACGAGTTACTTGAAAAAGTAATCTGTTTACGTAACTCACGTTACTTGTAAATCATTAACCCACCACTGCTACCAACTACCTAACACTCTAGCAACTGCCTAGCAAGACTGATAAACCTACAAAACTTCAGATCTCTCTTCAAACTAACCAGTTATTTAACTACACAAAGCTTATGACCTTCAAAATTCAAATCAATCTTCCAGTTTTTTCAGCTTGCAGGTGAGACTCTGTGAAGCCAACATTTCCAGTCTTCTGCTCAAAAATAACGTTGAGATTTTCCAAACTCACTTCCTTCCACACGAGATCATTATGAAATCCCACTGGGTTTATTAGATAATCTCACTGCTTACAGGATGTGACGGCTTTCACTTACCCACTGCATGATCATTCAGAGCCAGACACGCACGTGTTTGCAGCAAACGAGGTGCGTTTAACACAAGAGTAGTTTTGAGGACATCAGGACTCACTTGTTCTCATTGCTGAAGTCGTATCGTGGGGTCGGGTCGTAGTCGTTTCCGTTCACATCGTAGCTCGCCAGCTGGTCCTAAATAACGCACAAACACACAAATAAATCTTCTGAGGAATTTAGAGTGAAATTAACATTTCGTTTTCCACTGTAGTGATCTGGGGAAGTGTAAAATATGTAACAAACAATTATTTTATAAATCATACTGTGTTGAGCAGTGCTAATATTGTTAACTAAAACTGAAAATATTAAAAACATTTACGTGAAGTGAAAAAAAAAATTTTATCGGAAAAAAAATAAAAGCTTTCAGTTGTACTGTCAGTAAATATCAGACTGAATAAAAATGGGTGTAAAAATTGCTAGTAAGTTTCACCAATAATTACAAAAAATGGCAAGTCTTATTTACAACTTTGAAAAATCATTTTTTACAGTGCAGTTGCCAAGGAAATATTTGAAGAGTTTATTTGCAAAAACAGATAACTCAGTTTTGTTAAATTTTCAAAAATCATGTTTTTTTATTATGTAGTCATGTTTTTATTGTGTTTTATTGTGTTAGTTAGCTGTAATTTTTAGTTATTTTTTTAACCTAATCAAAATAACCCAACTGCAGTTTGATTGAGATTAATTGGAATGCATAATGACAAAACATGATTTTTGAGAATTGTTAAAAACGGAGTTATCTGTTTTTGCAAATGAACTCTTCATTTGTAATTTTTGCTTAGTTTAAGTTAAAGCTGAAACAGAAAATAACAAATATAAAACTGAAATAAAATTAAAAACTATAGACATTTAAAAAAATGGAAAATACAGCATAAGAATATTAAGAAATAATACATAAGCCTATCATACTATATTAATGATACAAAAAATAATACTCAAGACACCCCAAGTGAATAGGGTAAAACTAAAAATCAATAATACATAAAAATTAACTAATAATAAATGAATGAACTTAATCACAATCTTATTTCCACAGCTGATTGACTGAAAAAAAATTTTTATTACAACTTTTCTGAGATCTTATGTTTAAATATGCAAATTAGGTATTATCTATTTAAATATGCATGTATTTGCATACATCCCCAGAACAGAAACCTGAACATTGGATAAAGCCAGATTTAAAATTCTTGTTTCATTTTGTTCACATTTTTAGAAAACAGATTTTAAATATATCTATATAATTGAAATCTACAGACAAAAAAAATTATTATAAAGTATAATAAAATAAACACTTAAAAGTGTATTTTGGCGTTTTCTTTCTACTAGTCTGAAAGAAGACAATTTATGAAAATCCGAAAATCTCAACAATTGACCAATGTTTCTGCTCTAGTGTCTTGCCATAATAAAATGCATTTACAGCAATAATGCATGACCTGCAACAGGAGATCAAGATAATCTCACATAATTCTGCGCCAGATCCGGATGGTTCCTCTCAATACCGTCGTCCAAGATGGTGACGACCACATTTCGACCGGTGTAGCCTCTCTGCCAGGCCGCAAGGATATTCATTTCTGAACGGCAGCGGCTGTTTGTATCACTACAGTGCTGCAAAACAGTAAGAAGTCATCAACATCAACGTACCTTCACTTGCTATCAGTTTCAGGCACACGCTTTTGACTTTGAAAACAGGAAACATTGGAAGACAATTAGGCTGAAGCGATATTCTCGGCTCTCCAGAAACACAAGCCTTTATTACTTCAGTAACCTTATGGCTCAATCCGTCTGAGAGGAGATATGTCATAACAAGCGGCCACGTGACCCTGTAAATTAAACGGGTAGATTCATGTTTATTCAGCAGCAGAGGTTTGCGTGTCCTTGAGGGTCTCATTTATGATTCTTTTCAACGTCGTCTTTGAGGACACGATCAACAAAGATGTCCCAGTGCGAAGTCAACATCAGAGGACGGATTGAAAACAGTCTCAGATTCCTTTGTGCTGGAATATTAATCATACGAGTGCAAATAAACACAGAATATGCTTTAATACTGTCTGAAAACATCGGCTCTAATGGATTAACCATTAATCGTCTAGTGTTTGATACTGATATATGGAGACCAAAAGGATTTGCATAAAATTGACAAGGTCTACAGTTCTTCAAAGACACTTTGGAGGGAAAAAAATGATAAAAGAGCGACAGTTTACAAGGATTAAGACGACTCTTCGATCAGTAATCAATGTGAAGCTTGTTGAATAGGAGCAGAAGTACAGTGCAAACAAACAATCATTATAGAGTGAAGAAGGACAATTCATGAAGCTACTTTTGCCTGTAAGTGTGTGTGTGTGTGTATTTGTTCTTTTAGGGCTTGACTTGGAAAGCTCAGATTCAAGCTCAGAGAAAAGATTTATATTCAGTAAACAGGCTGTTCTGCCTCTGCTTTCTGATTTTATGAATCATTTAACCCCCATCTTGGTTCCACAATCATCATACAGCAGATGCAGTTTAAAATAGGACATAAATAAATCACTGAATCTGAGTCGATTCACTGAATCAGAACTGATTCACAGATTTTCTTCTATTTTTTTTTTACCTGTTTGCTCTCAGTAAACCAGACTAATAAAGAGTAAACAGCACAGAATGAAGACAAGCGATAGAAAAAGAGGAATTCAGGAGGCTGTGTTTCAAATTTGAACTAATTCTAACTTTACAGCAATCAGTCAGTGTCACCTATAGGTCAGTGACAGATGTAATGACAGAGACATTAAACAAACAAAATATTGACATCTAAAGCCACTTAAGTGTATTTGTCTATAGCAGGGCTGTCAAACTCAATTCCTGGAGGGCCGGAGCCCTGCAGAGTTTTGTTCCAACACTGCTGCAACACACATACCATGTAGTTTTCAAATAAGTCTGAAGGACATGATTAGTTGGATCAGGTGTGTTTACCCTCATCCGTCCCTCCCAAACCTATAACAAAAGTGTCCCTCGTGGGTCAAAATGACCCGAAGGCCAAAAATGACACTAGTTTTATTTTTGGTCAAGAAAGCTTATATTGGTCCATTTTTATAATTTTTTTTCCCTAATTTTTTTTTTTTTTTTTTTTTTTAATTCACATTAAATTCTGGATATTTTTGTGACAATTAGCATATTTTACACATTTTTTCACCAAAAAAAAAACAAAGAAAGACAATTTCTGCATATGTTTACTTTAAACGTGATCATCCATCAGGACCTAGGTCACTGAGTGTCTCTGATGCCATCTGGTGGGGAAAAAGTACATAAAATTGCATTTTATGATTACAGCCACTAGAGGAGCCTATTGAACCCTATGGAGATTCTTAAATGAGCCAAACAAGTGAAATGTTTAAAACTACACCAACTTGAGGCTTCATTAAGCTTTCAGATATATATCAAAACATTAAAAAAACGATATTTTGTAAAAAAAACAATGAATTTTATACTGAATTTCAATCCAAACACATGCATATTCATACAGTTTAATACATATGTAATAAATATAAAAGATGCATTTAAAAATATAAATATGATATAAACTCCATGGTCTCCACCCCATCACTCAGATTTAACTGTGTTAAGTGAAAAAAAAATTCAAAATGACAGTAATTTCCCAGCAGAAACATCATACAAGCTATAATGTGTTTCAATGGGAGTGTGTGTGCCATGTGTGTTTGTGGGTGTGTGTGGATATGTGAGTTTTTTGTGCATTGAGGACATTCTGCAGTCTCAGCCCTTTGTTTGGGTATTTTTGTATAGTCAAAAAAATCTAATAAATGAAAAAATGCTTTTTCGGACATTCCATTCATTCCTATGGCTGGGTCAAAATGAATGTAATATTTGTGGGTGTAATACTTTTTTTATTACACCCACATAGAATCCTCGAATCGACATTTTTGTGTGTGCTCCATGCTCAAGTATGACAAAATAAAATTTTAAAAATCCACAGTTTTTTCGTAAATTCCATGCTTTTCCAGTGGAGGGTCAAAATGACCCGCGAGGGACACTTTTGATACTTTTTTATAGCACCCACTTAAACTGCTCGAATTCACTAAAAAATTTTTTCATGTATTCCCAGTTCAAGTTGAGTTTGACACCCCTGGTCTATAGAGTGCAGGAATGAGTCCTAAAACCTGGACGTAATCAGTAATACTTCCTTGTGATTTTTCAAAGCTTATACTTGTCAGTTGCTAACAAGAGTTTAAATGGACTACAGAGGTTGTCGGGGACATTAAATGTCCTCACACTGAACATGTAAACTCACTCGTCCACTTTTACAGCCTAGTTGTGTTCATTCTTGCACTTTTGCAAGCTATTCTACATCAAACTTTCCAACTTTTATCACTTTTATCAGTTTATCAAGCTGTAGAGCGAAAACATATATTTAACATATCACACAATGAGTTGGACTTTAAAGCTTTAGACTTTCTGGAGGCACATTTATCAAAAAAATACTCTTTAAATATTCTTTAAACTTTCACAAAAACTGTAGAAGTCAAATAAAACATCTTTATACCACAAAGAAAACCTATCCAAAAGAGATGCATGTATACACGATCTGAATTTTCTCCAAAATAAAGCAACATAATAATGCAATCAGATTCATCCACAATAGCACAAAAAAGAGCACAGTGGATCCTATGGAAGTCAGTTTCCAAATAAAAACGATAACACTTTACAATAAGGTTCATTAGTTAACAATAGTCAACTACTTTAGTTAACATGAACTAAGAATGAACCATACTTCTACAGCATTTATTAATCTTAGTTAATGTTAATTTCAACATTTACTAATGCATTATTAAAATCAAAAGTTGTGCTTGTTAACATTAGTTAATGCACTGTGAATTAACATGAATACTGTATTTTCAGTAACTAACATGAACAAAGATGAATAAAAACTGTAATAAATGTATTGTTCATTGTTCGTTCATGTTAGTTAATACATTAACTAAAATTAACTAATGGAACCTTATTGTAAAGTGTTACCATAAAAACCAATAAAAAGACTGTTTATCTCGCAATTTTGAGTTTTTGTCTCATAATTCTGAATTTATATCTCGCAATTGTGAGATTTTTCTCAGATTTCTGAGTTTATATCTTTCAATTCTGCTTTTTTGTTTCCACCACAGAATAAAAAAATAAAAAAGGTAGTTGCAACTTTATCTCACTATTATATTTATTTTCACAGTTGCAAGTTTATATCTCACAAATCTGCGTTTAAATTTCACGATTCAGACTTTTTTCAGAGATATAAACTCTAAAATAAAATAAAAAGAGATAAAAAGTTGCAAGTTACATTTTAATCCCATGGTGGAAACATCTTCCATATCAGGAAACGTGTTTTTTAAATACAGATTGAAAGAGTTATCAGAAGGTGATGTAAAAGTCATGCAATCATGGAGTACTTTGTTTAGAACCTAACTTTAGCTTTTTACTTCTGACGGTTGTATTTAGGCTTCAAAATTCATAAAAGTTGTTCATTTATGAAGATTTTCTTAATGAACAAAACTTTCAAGAATCATAAACTGTGATTGGTCACAGAGCTTATTTTCTGAAATAGCATTGGCTTGTTGAGGGAATTCTTGATTCTTGAACAACTATGTAAAATGATGCTTATGACTGTAATTTGGCCTGATGGATGCCAGCGTTAGCGTTATTGTTCGTTCATTTCCTCCTGACATCACTGAACCTACAATATAAATTCATTTGTGATTCAAAGGCATCAAGCTTGTTAGGGAAACAACTGATGCACATGCACTGCTATTACACAGATCGTTTTTTATGAGGCAAGAGCAGCGGAAACAGCCCTGCTATACAATAAATAAAACAACAGGAGCTACACAAACAAGCTGGTTTAATGAAGCGCAAATCACTGGCCCTTTTCTCTAGGAGTCACTGGAAACGGTGCTAAATATCTTCATTGGAAAAAAAGGGTCATTAATTTATAACTTAATATTATCATTATTAATATTATTACTTGCCCTCTTCATTGTCTTCCACCCTTTCCCAGTCTTAATTAAATTATTATTATTATTATTATTATGGTTATTATTAATATTGTTGCTAATAACATTTGTTGTCTTTTTTTTCTTCATTTTTAAAGTTATACTACTTATATCTGTTAGGCGTATTAATCTGTTAAGATACTATTTAATTTGTATGCTTCCTCCCCCACCTCTAGACACAATGTCGCGCACACACACACACGCACATGCATGCTCACAGACACATGAATGCAAATACAGGAGCTAATCAGAATGGACTTGTAATGTTGGCTATCAGTATATATGTTTGTTTGTCCAAGTGAGTCTATATTTGGCACATGTAAATATTGCCACTTTCTTAACTTAGCCTATGTTTCTTACTTTTATGTTATATGTTTGGTCCATGTTATTCTGTATTTGGCACATGTAAACATTGTCACATTCTTTACTTGCATAATAAAAAAAAAAAAGGGTAAAAAGTAAAGACAGCGCAGATATGAAATACAGGACTGAATGTGTGAAATATCTACTAACAATGTACCACATGTTGGACCATTTGGGATCATTGAAGTGGATGTAGCTCGGGTCGCTCCTGGCGTGGCGTTTGACTCGCGTCTTCACCAGCTGCTGCTGCACCCAGTCAACCTGCAGAAAGAGCCCAGGTTACACTGACTCACATCAAAGACTAAATAGTTTCGGCTCACCTTCATGCACATAAACACGGCTGTGAAACGTGCGGCCTGTATTTAGTCACGCTCTAAGCTTTTCCATTACATGAGGCTTATGAAGTCATGGAGAAACAAATGGGAGAATACAGTACTCCGAGGCATGCTTCCCCAAATCCAGCCTGAGGAAAAAGTATAGTCACATCATCCAAAATATTGAGAGATTTTCTTAATAATTCCATTTCATGAAACACAAGACATATTATAAGTCTGTTCACTTAGAAAAGTAGTAGCAAACCTCAAGAAGTCATGATTCGGGGAATCATTAATGCCATCTACACTAAAGTTTTCGAAAGGAGTTTCTTGTGCTCATTTATTTTATTAAAAATACAGTAAAAATAGTCAAAATTATGAAATATTATTACATTTTGATATAACTGCTTTCTATTTGAACATATTTTAAAATTTAATTTATTCCTGTGATCAAAGCTGAATTTTCAGCATCATTACTCTACTCTTCAGTGTTACATGATCATTCTAATATGCTGATTTGCTGCTTAAGAAACATTTCTATTATTATCAGCGTTGAAACAATTGTGCTGCTTCAGATTTTTGCGGAAACCATGATTTTTTTTTCAGGATTCTTTGATTATTAGAAAGTTCAAAAGAACAGTATTTATTTTAAATAGATTTTTGTAACAATGTAAAAGTCTTTACTGTCACTTTTGAACAATTTTTCAATGCATTGCATAAATAAAAGTATTTCCTTCAAACAAACCTTACAAACCTCAAACTTTTTAATAGTAGTGTGTATGATGAATACTTTTAGGTGTTTGCTCTGCTAAGTATGAGCTATTTCATTCATAATCATTACATTTGGGTAGTGGAATCATATTTCATCTTGAATACTTAATATAAACCAACATGTGTGTGTGCTTTGCTAGTCTAAAAAAATGTGCATTTCATACTGATAAGTGCAGCACTGGGCACATCCTATCTAGATCTCTTTATTATTCCCTTTTAATGCATCATCTGTTGTAAATAAGGGATATGCACTAGTCTTCTAATTAAGAAAAGTGACCCAGCCATGCCTGTAGATTTATCTGTCCCTGCAGCAATGCCTGAATTCATGGTTCCCCTCAGAAGAGCTTAACTTTAGAATCACTAGCGCATACGCATTCTTGCTTTCATTAAAAAGGTCCAGAGGGAAATGTAATGAAAATCACATTCTGCAATAATTAAGTTTTTCTCTGTTACAGTCCTAGTGCTATAAATGCATGGGTTGAGTTGGGAATCAAGTACATGTTCTTATTCAAAATATGTTCTATGAAATAAATCAATAAAAAAAAAAAACAGAACCGAATGATTTTCATGACATTTGGTTCCATTAAAGATCCTTGAATCTTTGGATCATACTGAAAAACTCCTGATCCACTAATGAATCTCCAGCGAGCTGTTTGGAGGCTGAATTGAATGTGATGAGAGAAAATAAACAAGACAACTCATCTAAACCATCTGCATGACCAACTGCAGTTGACCATTGTTGAATCAGGCAAATGATGAACAAGTGACTCCTATGAGCCGGTTCCTTTGAATCAATCAGCCAAAAACACTCAAAAACATGAGTTACTGGTTTGAATCGGTCGAATAACTCTCTCATTCACTCACTGATTCAGAAGAATCGGTTATTAACTTGTTCAGATATATAGTTAGGATGTATAATATAAAGCACTAAAAGACATTAAAAGCATAAATGTGACCCTGGACCACAAAACCAGTCATAAGGGTCCATTGGTTGAAACAACCCAGCATTTTTTAGAGTGTAGGTAAAAATCACCAAAAAACCTGAAATGTTATTAAAATTGAATCGGAAAAAGAAAATTGATTGAATTGAAATAGAAAGATGATACCATTTTTTGGAAGACACTCCCTATGTCTATGGTAGGCAAGATTAACGCTATAAAAATGGTGGCACTTCCAAGATTTTTGCATGTATTTCAATCTATTCATTTCTTTATTCCCCTTAATTATTTTAAACAACTAGAATCTATTATAAGCCGCTTCATTTGGGACAACAAGCAGCTAGGATTAACAAGAAACATCTAAACAAATCTAAAGATCAAGGAGGGTTTGGGCTTCCCAATTTTAAATATTATTATTGGGCAGCTAACTTAAATACTTTAGCGTGGTGGAGGAAGATTGGTTCAGTGGAGTTAGGTGACAAGCCAGAATGGTTAGCAATTGTAGAAGCTTCTTGTTATAAGACTTCATTAACAGCTCTGCTTAAAGGGTTAGTTCACCCAAAAATGAAAATCAGACTGCGTTTTACTCACCCCCGAAGCATCCTAGGTGTATATGACTTTCTTCTTTCAGACGAATCCAGTCGGAGTTATATTGATTATTACGTTTTGAATATGGATATTTTTCTTACAAAAATGCATCGATTCGCTACAGAAGGCCTTTGTTCACTCCCCAGAGCCGTGTGAGACACTTTTTATGGATAGGTGATTTTTATTTAACTTCTTTTGGACTGAAGCATGCAACACCTGCTG